AAACAAGCCCTTAAAAACGATCACTTGAACATATTAGATGGCTGAGAGAGAGAGAAAGAGAAAGAGAAGGAAGGAAAGAAAGAAAACAAGTGTTTAGAAGGATGTGGAGAAATAGGAACCCTTGTGCACTGTTGGTGGGAATGTAAACTGGTGCAACCGCTATAGAAAACAATATGGTGGTTCCTTGAAAATTAAAAAGGGTTACCATATGATCCAGCATCCCTCTTCTGGATATATATCCCAAAAAAGTGAAAGCTTAAGAGAGATTTGCAGACTCATGTTCATAGCAGCACAATAACCAAGATGTGGAAGCAACCCAAGTGTCCATTGCTAGAGGAATGGAGAAACAAAATATGGTACATATAAAGGAATATTGCTCAGACTCAAAAAGGAAGAAAATTCTGACACATGCTACAATATGGATGAACCTTGAGGACATTACACTAAGTGAAATAAGCCCGTCACAAAAATATTAAAACCCTATGATTCTATTTATATGAAGCATCCAGAGTAGTTAAATTTACAGAAACAGAAAGTAAAATGGTGGTTGCCAGAGGCTGAGGAGAAGGGGAAACTGGGAGTTGTTTAATGGGTATGATTTCAGCTTTGCAAGATGAAAAAGTTCTGGAAGTTAGTTGCACAATGTGAATATACCTAACACTACTGAACAGTACACTTAGAAATGGTTAAGATGGTAAATTTTATGTTAATATTTTTAAACTACAATTTTAAAAAACAATCAAAAGCTATAAGAAAAAAGCCATGAGGTAATCACAATTTTTGTTTTTACGAAACAAACATTTTTAATTTTGTTTTAGAAATTCAGGTTTTAGATATTAAATTTCTCTAAAGGGATGTCTGGCAAATAGATAAGGGTTTATAAATTTCTACTGCAGAAAACATGAACATTAATACTCAATGCATATACAAAACAGTTAATTCTTGATGTGTCAAGAGACCAAGAGATATAATTATTTTTAAAATTCCAAAGCCTATAGTTAATTTAAACATTCTCACCATATTTTTACCAAAAATACTGAGCAACAAGAAGTTTGGCTTGTCTTAGTTTCAAATTATCTTTCTAACCTTCCAGAGTTAAGCAGAAAACACATACACACACTGGGTAAAATCCACCCACTGGATAACTAGTCAGAAAGTTTAAAAAATCAATTTCTTGATCGGAAACTCATCCGACACCACATTTAAATTTAGATTATTTTCTCCTGGTTAAGAAACAGACTTGTGTTAATCTTAGATAAAGGGATACAGTATTTCAAGTATCTAAATTTAAAAAATGATATATTAAGAGAAGGCATCTGTGAACACACGATTTAACCCAAATCTTTAACATCCATGCACATCAATTTTTAATTTCACCACCAAACATAATAAACTATTTTGAGTTCTTCCGAAAAAAAAAAAAATCAGTCAATAGACTAATTAATCCCCCTCAGCTTTCTATACACCACTCTTGACATACAAGAATAGAATGTAACCACAAAATCTAAACCCTGAGCCCAGACACCATTAGAGCCGTAGACAATGGCATTAAAAGGAAAGACAATGGAAGTTAACAGGTAGAAAGGCTGACATTCTCCAAACTGCACAAGATGCTCTAAAATAACTTGATAGTTCAGTAAATACGCACGTGTGGAAGAGTGCACTGATATAGACTTCATACAAATTGAGCCACAAAACAGACCAGTAAGGCAAGCTTTAAGTCTTGCCTTCAGATGGAACTCAGATGGTCTTAACTCTGGAGAAATTCATAAGCAAAGGACAGTTTTTCTATCATGTAGCTGCTTTACTGAGAATATTTTATCAACTCATTATCTTTCACAAAGGTTAATTTTTACAAAATTGTCTAAACTTTGGCATCAAGACAAAAAATGTTTTAAGTTACTGCCAGTACTAAGACTGCAGTGTCTTGCACATATCTTGCTTAAATCAACAGTAAGACTAGAATACTGTGTATGTTTGACTCTACATACACAGTATGTAAGTTCGGAGTAAACTCAAAGTTTTCTATTTGGGGAGAAAACACAGGGGTGAGGAATTGTGAAGGACGAGGCCTGGAGTAGAGAGTAGATCAAATGCTCAAGAAAAATAACTGATACTAGGTGCCAATATAACCCAAGGATGTACTCTTTTGCCCATTTTAACAGGAAAAAAAGCCCTTTTCAAGCTCTGGATCCAATGTTAGTCTTTTCACTTTCAGGAGATAGAAAAGATGCATGAAGACACAGAAAAGAAACTAAAGGAAATAGCTGGAAGGACTAGCAAAAAAGAATTTTAAGAGTTGTGGAAGTTCAAACAAGAATTTTAACAGGTAACTATTTTCAAGTACACAGTGTCACCAAGACTCCTGCAATGGGCTAAGTGCTTCACAAGCATTATCTCATTTAACCTTTACAATAACTGCTCAGATGGCTGCTATTCTTATCATCACTTCAAAAGAAGGAAAGAGGCTCAGAGGCATTCAGTAACTTGCTCAAGCTCACAAGTGAAGGGCTGGGACCCTTAACTCAGAGGTATCTGCCTCCACATCCTATGCTCTTAACCACTATATACTGCTTCCTCAAACAAAAGGACAATCAAAATAGAAATATAACGAGAAAAGTTTGCTAATAAATGAGAGAGCTTCTTGACTTTTAATGGCCAAAGTTAATGAAGGAAATTAAGGAATATCTATTCTCAGAAATTTTACTTTAATGATTCAGTAATTATTTGTTTTGGAAAACTTTGAAGGAGTCTGGCCTGAAGCCTGAAACAGAATCATTACTCTCTTGACATTCCCTTAAAAATCTAAAAATCAAAACACATGTGCTATTAAGTAAGTTTAGTCCCTATAACTAGGAGGCAACATGAAATGTCCTATGTTAAATCTAAAATATCATAGCTATACCCATTTTCTATTCTGATTTCTTCCAATTCTTCAGGTTGAGTTTCCTAGACCTTCTTTTAAAAAGACAAATTTGTTTCCCAAACTCTGACATTGGGAGCTCATTTAAAATGAAAAAAAAATTGCATGAAGAAAATCCCCATCCCTCAAACTCTCAGTTATCTTTCAAAAAACTGTAAATTAGTTAGAAAAGGTCATCTATTATAAACAGCATCTAAAAATGCTGAGTAACCACTACTTATTAAGTGTTTAACTTAATTTTTCAGTTATATCAAGAACTTCTATATTAAGAAATGAATCCATCCAACCCAACGTTGCTAAGTTTTCAAATGAGAAAATTTTGAAAGTAACAGATGAGCTGAGGAAAATCTAAGAACTCATTTAGAATTGGAGCTGATGAACAGCAGCTAATTTATTCATTCATTCATTTCAAAACTGCTTCTGATATTCAGAACTGATGAATGGCAAAGAAATGAGTTCGATACTGTATATAAAAAGGAATTGATTGGTGCATAATTTAATACATTGTATTAAGTATGATTCAATATATATAAGGATAGAAAACTGGCACTACACAGAGGTAATCTGCCGCTTTATCATTTCATCAAAAGCAGTGTAATCACCTCCGCAAAATAAACTGCAATTAATTCCTGGTAACTCTTGGAATGAATTTAAACCTGTTTGCTCACTTTTTGAAGTTTGTAAGTGCCTTCTCTGGTGTACACAAACTAAGAATTTAATATTCTATTGAAGAAGGACCAGGAGAAGGGATCTACAAAACAGCAAGAATATAAACAAGTTTATCTTCTGCTGATACTGATTAGGGAAATTAATCTCTCTGCCAGAAGAGTGGAAGGATTTAAGAGCAAAGCCAGTCTACTAACCAAAACTCTTACTCTAAATCTTCAATTCCTTAAATGATTTCCTTAAAAGTTAAAATACCAAAGTGGACAAAATTGTGTGTGTGTTGGGGGATGGGGGAGTCCGCTCTTAATACCAGTGGTCCAACTCACAATTCTTAATCTCTAATGTACCCCTTAGGCTCAAACTTCAAGGTGATTTATAAAACTTGCATTAAGTTCTAACCGAGTGATTAACTTACTTTGGATATATGTTGAAGGTTTTCCTTTAATATACTTCAATTTCAGGAAAATGAAAGAGTTCGAAAATTTTTGCAACATTTTAGTGCCGCATTTCGTTCACTCATCATATACTTTTTTCAGTATCATTAAAACTGTCTGCCTACATTTAACCAGCCCCTACATTTTCATTATTTGAAGAATGAGTGAGGCATGTATTCATTTATAATATCTGCGTTCTCGTGACAGGTGATATGAACTCAAGTATCCAATTCTAAAGTTCTCTTTAAAATGTTGCTATTTCTCTAAATTCCCATTACTCTGACTCTCAGTCTAGGCAAGTTTTTTAAGGCGCTTAAAACGAAACAAAACCTGCACGTGCAAACTAAAAAGTTCGCATCTTAAGGCCATCGCGGCAAACCCCTAGGATGCACAAAGGCAAAGACACGCGCGACGGCTGGGCAACTACAGGACAAGATCGCATCCGACCACGCGAGTCCCTCATTCGGGAACTCAGGGCCCCAAGCCCACTAGGAAGCCAGGACCAGCGTGCAGGGTCCGCCCCAGGGCCGAGTTTTCAATGGAACCGGAGAGGATGGGGGCGGGAAGGAGCGGAAGCTCCGGGTGCAAACCGCGGCTACCGAGCTGCAGCTCATTTCTCTTCCCGGGGTTTTCGGGCTGGGTAAAGTCCCCTCCGGATGCGGCCACAGAGCAGGCTGGCTTTCTGAGGCGGGTAGGTGGGCGGCGCGAGGCCCCCACGGCCGGCGGGGAGGGCAAGCAGGGCTCAGATCCCGGCCCCTGAAAGCACTTTCGAGGCGTCTCCCACCCCCCACGACAAGATGGCGACGTGGACAGCGGGGGAGCCCGGCCGGCGAGGTTGGGGGAAAGAGAGGGGAGGGGAGAAGCCGCAGAAACAAAAAGGCTGCCCCCCCACCCCCAGGAACGCCGAGGCCGGCCCGGGAGCCCAGGGCGGGACGGCGGGCGGGGGCGCCGGCGGCCGGCCGAGGGAATGGGCTTACTTTTTCTTGTCGTTTGCGCCGCCGGCGCCCTCCATGGTGAATCGGTCCCCGCGATGCCTTCACGCCGGGCGGCCCCCAGGCTCGCTCCGGCCTAAGCGCTGGCTCCCTCCACACGCGGAGAGAGAAGGCAAGGCAAGTCCAGAGGTGGGGGTGCGAGGCGGGAAACACCTCGTGAGACCAGAAGCAGGAGAAGCGGGCGGCAATCGCCGGGGTCCGGGCCCGGCTCCGAACCTCTCCTCAGGTGGCTTGTCAGGGCCCAGCCCGACGCACTGGCCGAAGCGACGGCGAGGGTGATCCTCTTGTCCCCTCAGACGAGGCAGCACTGTGCACTGAGGAGCTGAGGCAGCGTCAGGGGGCGGGCAAGGGCGGAGGCGCGCTTGGGCGCTCAGGGAGGGGAGGAGGCGGGAGCGCGCCCGCCCGCCTGCCCAGGCCGGCGCGCGCTCCCGCAGGCCCGCCTCACCTGAGGTGGAGGCGGGTTCCTCGAGAGCCAATGGCGAGCCACGTAGGCGGCCAGCCCACGTCGCTCTCAGCCAATCAGGAGGCGGTCAGCTGAGGCACAGCTGGGACGTGCTGCGGCGCTCACGTGGTAGTCTGTGTTTAGCGGCGGAGGAAAGAGAAAGGAGCTGGGGGCGCGGCTCAGCGCGGGTTTGGGGACTCTGCGCCTTCCCCTAAGGAAGGCGGTGCCCGGCTTTGGGAGGCGCTGCTGAGAAGGGATTTCGGTTGCCTGGTCCCAAACCTGCATCATATTTTCCTACTCTTCGTGCAGCAATGTAATGCTGCCGCTCTCTTTCTCCTCGGCCGCAGTGCTGAGCGTGACTGCCGCCCAACTCTGCTGAGCTCTCTGTTCAAAAAAGCGTACTTCGCCTCGTGGCTGCAAGCCCTTCTTTGGTCTCGTTGCTCAGATGTGTTACAACGGGGTCTTTCCTTGCCAGGTTACCTAACCATGGGTCAATGTCACCCACTACACCTTTGCCATGGGACACAGGGGAACTCACCTTGTCCACTAAGTTTTTCTGTGGCGGAGTTTAATTACTGAATAAATGCAATTAAAAATAAAAATTAACTCCTCTTGCTGTAAACTTCAAGGGAAATAAAGTTGCAGGGAAATCTTAAAATCTGAAACTATGTTAAGCATTCACAAATAGGTATAAATGACTTTAATAAGCATATAAACCAATTTCGGGGAAAGAGTAGAAAAAATGGTCTTTGGCAACTTTGCAAGCTACTAAATAAAACGTAATCATTTTTGTCTTTGGAGGTATAATGGATATAAAAGTGTCTTCAAGCCTGTCAGTCTTACAAAACAAAAGAATATATGTTGAGCCCAATAAAGGAGCATTGCACATATATCTCTACTTGGCGCTAAATTATTTTACTTCTCACCTTTGCGTTATGAGTTTCTTGTTAAAACCTAGCTTTGGGTTGTAAATATAAATATCTGTAGTGGCTTTCAATTGTATTAGCATGTAAAAACAATGGTCTATATAAGAGCATCAAACTCTGATAAGACAACAACCAATGTATACAGCACCTCTTTCTAACTGGTCAGTAGACCTACAAAGATACGATTCAACATTGACCTTAGTGGACACCGTGGTTCCAGCTACTCAGAGGGGTAAGGCTGGAGGATCCCTTGAGCCTGGGAGTTCCAGCCTAGAGAACAATAGCGAGACTCCATCTCTTTAAAAAACTTTTGGTCTTCACGCTACGTTTGTTTTTTCAGATCTACAACACTAAATGATATGTATTATGTCTTGAAAAGAACCATGGGAAATGCCTGAAGAGAAGAAAGAACTCAAAATAATTACTCCTAATTTATTTTTTAATTGTGGAAAGAATAATTCTGTAAATTAAAAACCTTTTAGTTTAACATTCTGAAGATACTGTGTTAAGAACACTGGCTCCAGAATCAAGCGTGAGCTTGTACACAGGCTTTGAAACTTACTGGCAAGTCATTAATCTCTCCATAACTCAGTTTACTTATTTATAAAATCGATGTAAAAGTGTCTATACCACGGTATTATGGATAGTTAGATGAGATAATACATATATACTTAGAACAACATCTGGTGCCTGGTAAGCACTCAGTAAATGTTAGCTTTTAGTATTGTTGGTGGCATTATTATTATTATTATCATCATTATTATTATTTTGAGACAGAGTCTCGCTCTGTCCCCCAGGTTCGAGGGAAGTGGTGCGATTTCGGCTCACTGCAACTCCGTCTCCCAGCTTCAAGTGATTCTCCTGCCTCAGCCTCCCAAGTAGCTGGGATTACAGGCGCCCACCACCACACTCGGATAATTTTTGTATTTTTAGTAGAGACGGGGTTTCACCATGTTGGCCAGGCTGCTCTCTAACTCCTGACCTCAGGTGGTCTGCTCACCTGGGTTCCCAAAATGCTGGGATTACAGGCATGAGCCACAGTGCTGGCCTGTTATCATTATTATTGCCCTCAAATTTATTCCTCTGTTAACAGTAATTACTCAGGCTTCTCCTACAGTTTAGCCATTTTTAACTATCCAAGAATACCAATTATGTTAATATAAATCCACATATATTCTCTGTTTTCAACTTGGGAACTGCCCATCGTGTTCCCACCCTCATTTATGAGGATAGCTGCAGAGATCTTCAATCATTTCCCTTTTCATTATACTTATAGCAATTCTCTCTGGCCAGTGATTATAGTATATAATGTTTGTGACATCAAAAGACAAGCATTTTGTAACAGTAACTCTAAGTCATTGAAAAATTTTTTGGATCATTTCAAAAGTTTAAAACACAGTGATAATTTGATCAGCAAAAAATATTTTTGAACATTCATTAAATTTGCCCTAAAGTTAATTTTCCTTTTCAAAAATGTATAAAATATATTTTTATGTATATGTTCATATGTGTATACACAAATATAAATATGAAAATGGAAAGGAAAGTAGTATATGTGTATGTATATATGTGTATATACAAATATAAATATGAATATGGAAAGCAGTAATATTCAACCAACTAATTTTCATATAGTTACAAAGACACCAAATACTATCCCCTAATTCAAACAATCCTATTAAATAACAGACACCAAAAAGGAAAATTTCATATAGGATAAAATTTTAAATTCACCTGTTTACAACTACTTAACAAATTCATTTAGGTTATTACTATGTAAGTATATCTTAAACAGTCATTTAATCACTTTCTAACTGCAGAACTTTCTGAGTAAACTACAAGATTATTTGCAAATGACCCCGTTGACCCATATTTAGTAGGAAATTGGGCAGTGAATCAGGAGGCTAGGTAAAACTTGAAATTTTGATTACTACTAAATAATATAGAGCATTGAGCCTTTTGAAAGTGAAATGCATCAGATGCACAGAGTTTATAGGGTATTAAACTATGCAAGAAGACCTAGTATTCAGTAAATGATTCCTGGCCTATTATTACCCTTCGTTGTTTCTTTTTCTTTAAGCTATTCATAACAAGAACAATGGCAGCAAAAGGGTATTGTTTGGAAGGAAAGTGCTTAGACGATAAGAGGCATTAAAAATCTTTTTTTTTTTTTTTCCTTTCAAGAATCAAAACACAAAGTATCTGTAATGCCAACACTTTGGGAGGCTGAGGCAGGAGGATCACTTGAGGCCAGGAGTTTGAGATCAGCCTGGGCAACAAAGTGAAACTCCCATCTCTACAAAAAATTTTAAGAGTTAGCTGGGCTTGGTGGTTAGTGCCTGTAGTCGTAGCTACTCTGAAGGCTGAGGCGGGAGGATCACTTTCTCCCAGGAGTTCAAGGCTGCAGAGAGGTATGATTGTGCCACCGCACTCCACCCTCGACAGAGCAAGACCCTGTATCTTAAAAAAAAACAACAACAAAACACACACACGCATGCAGACACACAAAATAAAATGTGTATTTATCTGAGTTTAGGGGGAATATAAACAGACTGAAAATTTGATACTAGCACTTTTCAATTATGATAAATATTTCTAAGATGAGTTTACAAAGGAACACCAAGGGGCTTTCAGTTTCCTGTTCAACATGTAAAGAACTTGGAAGTTGTCGCTCCCATCCTCACAACAAGAAAAAAAAGCTAAACAAACTGAAATCAATAACTCTTCTTAGATCCACCAGAGAATTGAGGTCACAGGAAAAACTACTGCCCTAAAAACTAGAGAGACAGACAGATAGATACAGAGAATCCCAGCTTTTCAGAGAATCACGGTTTACCAGGAGCAGAGCCCAGGCACAGAAGCCAGAAGCTGAAGCTAGTTTCACAGCTGGAACCAACATCAGTAGGAACACTTAACTGTAATTGGGAAATTGCTGGAGGCTCAGTGCAGACTAGCTTGAGAGTTAAAAACTCCAAGGGTTTTTAGAAGGGCTAAAGTCTGAGAGGGACCTTAATACTTACCTCAGTTTCACCTCTATGAATCCTGTCAGATTCTCACTATAAAGATCTGAGGAAAATCTGCTTTGCTTTTGCCAGGGAGAAGGGGTAAGTAACCATCGTGAAATACTCTCAGGACTCTCTGTTCTTCTTAACAAGACCTGGCCTCAAGGGAAACTCTCTATCAGAGCCTAACCAAGTGAATCTACCAAAGGCTAACCAATCTGGAGGAAGGGAAATTACCAACTCTAGTCAGCTCTAGCCTTCCACACGGGAGAAGGGAAATACTCAACTCAAGCTCACTAAAAGACTTGAGTCCTAATCATAGGACTGTAGAAAGCTCTTCTCTCCCCATTACCTTACCACCACATCAGAAGAGCTCCTGTGTAACAACGGGGCATTACAGCTAAAAGAACTCAAACCTCAGACCCTATTTTAAGAGTCTCTGGGGACATCCAAAGACAACATAAGAAGCAAAAACAAGGACACAGTAGGAAATTTTAGCCTCTGACACCACGAACAGTAACAAAGCCTACCTCTTAGCCAGATAAACATGAAACCTCACACGAAAGGCCTAACTAAGTTCCTTTTACCTGATACAGCATGTCTGGCTTTCAACAACGACAACGATGACAAAAAAAATTACAAAATATGCTAAAAGGCAAAAAACACAGTCTGAAGAGACAAACCAAACATCAGAATCAGATTCACATATGGCAGAGATTTTTGAATTTCAGACCAAAAATTTTAAATAAATATGATTAATATGCCAAGGGTTCTAAGGAAACAGTGGGTAACATGCATGAACACATGTTCATACATGAATACATGTAATGTACACAGAGATATGGAAGCTCTAAGAAGGAATAAAAAGTTAATGCTAGAAATAAAAAACAATAGAACAAATGAAAAATGCCTTTAATGGGCCCATCAATAGACTGGATACAGCCAAGGAAAGAATAAGCAAGCTTGGAGATATGTCAGTACAAACTTCTAAAACTGAAATGCAAAGCAAAAAAAAGAAAAATGAAAAATATGGAACTGAATACCTATGTACTGTGGCTGCGAGACAATCACAAAAGTTATAACCTAACTGTAATGAAGG